CTTTCACCTGTGACCAGTCTTGAAAGAGTTAATGGGAATATTGATTTTGTTGATAATACTTGACCTATATCTTCTGATAACTAAATATTTCAAGAGTTTTATTAGTTAATACCATATTCTATTCTATGCCAACACGATTTTTTGTTTGTTTTAAAAATGAATGAAATATTAGGTTGTACGAAATTTTGGATTGCATCAGACTTCATGTAATAATTAATTTGTTCTCCCAAATCCTTTACGTATCTTAAAAACATTGTTTCTAATTTTCTCAAATTGGAAATGTTTTTACCATGTGGCTGTAAGACAAATTTTGATTGTTATTGCTGCATTTCATCCCTAGGAAAATTGTTTAACAATAACCCTTAATTATACAAGTGGCATTGTTGAATGTCCTACTTTCAGGTTTATCTTCTTCTTTTTTTTTGAGATCGTTAACAACTGATATATCCGACTCATAATTCAATATAATGCAGGAAATTGTTCTAGTAACATATTTTCCCTTTCTTTTGATTTTTTCATTGACCAATCTTGCACATGCATCATATTTTGACAGTCCTTTGATAGCTAATTAATGAAGATGAGAAGAAGCTGTACGTTAAAACATATATGTTGTATGAAGTATAACAACAGTTATGAGTGTCATGCAGTTGTATGAAGTATAACAACAGTTATGAGTGTCATGCAGTTTAATGGATAGTTTGTGAAATGAAAGATTTCGCTTGAAATGTAAATAGTTTTTTGTCATATTAGTTTTAGCATGTATGTACAGAAAGTCTTTGTTGTGTTTATTTTTCCCAAGCAATACCATATGTATTATTAGCATTTACAAGCCTCCCCATTTTTTGTTCAATGTTTAAAATACCATATGAGACCTTGATATCAAACAACATTGACTGTTGGTATCAACCTGTTTTATCTGTCTTTATTTTTTATTAAAGGTGTTTACATTTTTATTTTCATTTAACTACACTCTTCATGTGGAATATGTTCCTTATGTTAGAATGAGACCATTTAGATTCTTTATTTTTTATTTTAAAACTATTTTTCAAGAATGGGATTTAATTGAGATCAAAAAAATGTTTAGGTTTTTTGCTAAAGTTATTTCTCAATTTTTAAAGATTATACTGATCTTTTAACATTATTGTCATCAAAATCTATGCACTTTTTATTAATCTTTTTTATATTTGAGACTTAGAAAAAACTACTGTATTTATTTCAACCAAAAGAAATTAAAACTAAAGTATGTATATTTGATATATTTTTGCCTGGCTTGCTAAAAATTTGTTATGTGATTTGAAAGTTGTTTTTTTTATTCTCCAGGTAAAGTGTATCTGGTGTACTATTATTAAGTTTTGTGATTTGAAAGCTGTTTTATTCTCCAGGTACAGTTCGTCTGGTGTATTATAAGTTCTGTGATTTGAAAGCTACTTTATTCTCCAGGTACAGTTCATTTGGTGTACTCTAAGTTCTGTGATCTTGAAAGTTGTTTTATTCTCCAGGTGAAGTGTCACCAGTACTGGCCCTTAGGAAGCCATCATGATGGTGAAGATGAAATGGTGCTCAAAGATGTTAATCTTAAGGTCACCATTTGTGGAGAGAAGGAAGCTGAAAACTACACTGTCCGAGAGCTGCTTGTATCAAACTTAGATGTGCGTGTGTTGCTATTTTAGACTTCAGTTGTTGTTTTTCAATATTCTAAGCCTGTGGATTAATTTTGTAATTAAAGAAATATCCTGAAAATAAAATATTAGGCTAAAATGTCTACAAGTTTAATGATGTCAATGATAAAATTGCTTAAAGATTTTTTTTTTGTCCTTGCAGTATATGTACAGTTAGTGTTTTTACTTTTTTTAAACTGCTTTCAGTTTTGTTGAACATGGTTTTTTATCCTTTTTTCCTAGCTTTAGCTTGAATTGCTTGATAATCCTCATTTATTACAATACATATTGTGGTATTAGTTTTAAATATTTTGTGTTTATTTATATCATAACTTCTTTAGATTGGTATTTGTAATTATTCATTAAAGAAATATGAAAAAATTCATATGATGTTGAAATAAAGAAAACAGTTCTCGAAAAGGAAAGTTAACTTTCAAGTAAACCATAAACAAAGTTTGTACAGATTGAAATATCAGTATTTAGTACTTGTGTATGTGCATGTTTGTAAAACCTGAAATTTTGCATGCAACTGTCAGATACTAGTTTCTGTCTTTTCAGTTAGATACCTTCACTGCTTAATGAGATGATACAGATGTTTTACATATCTTATTGAAATAAAGCAAAAACAAATTTTGCATTAATTTTTCATCTGTTTACTTTAAAACTTGTGTTGAATCTATTTTTTAGGTAAGAAAAAATGCTTATATGTATTTGTTTTAATAACATTTTTAAAACGTTCTAAACTTGTGTACAATCAAATGGTTTATTTATTTTTGATTAACTTAGAAATGGTTCTTCACCTAGAGTAATGAATCTAGAATGGTACTTCATTTTCACTACACAACTTGGCCTGACTTTGGAGTACCAGAATCCCCCTCAGCATTCCTCAACTTCCTCATGGCCGTCCGAGATTCTGGAGCTCTTAACCAAAATGTAGGGCCAGCAGTTGTTCATTGCAGTGCAGGAATTGGTCGTTCTGGCACCTTTTGTTTGGTTGACTCTTGTCTTATTTTGGTAATTTTGCTTATAGTTAAGGATTTAAGTAAGCATTTCTCTAGAGTAATCTGTATATATTACTCACAGTAGCTTGAAATTAGAAATAAATAATTGCCTGCAACTGAAAGTCCCAAAATGTATAAATAAAGGTATTTTAATCTTCATAAAGTATTGAAAACAACAAAAAGAAACATTATTATATGTACTAATAGAATAGGTAATTTTTATTTAGACTCTATCCTTGTATTTAAATGCATCAATATTATAGCTGAACTTTAATATAGTGTTATAATTTTTATTTATGCATCATTGATGTTCAATGTAGCTGTGGCATTTCTCTTCATGAAAATATTGAATAAAATTATTTTAGTTATCAAAGAAGGTAACTAAACTTATACAGTATAAAAAATAGATCAAGATAAGAATTTTCTAATGATATACGTATTTTGTCTATATCCTTTCAGAAGTGTCTCAGAATCATTATGTAATTTCAACAAAATGTGTTTGTTTTGTTGATAGGCCCATAGGCAAAATATAAAAACAATTATGAAATATTTTGGCAAAAATGTAAAGCATTTAACTGCATGTAAGTACCAAATAAAATGTTATTTTAACTTTATAAGTTCTGTTGATTTAAACCCTTCTTTATATTCAAAATGTCTAATTTGTATAAGTTATCCAGAGCTTTATTTATATTGAATAAATATGTGTAATGTTTATTTTCTTTGATTTTATGTATTTCTTGTTTATAATTTTTTGTTGTAGGTATTGACTAATGTTGTTCAAATGGAATTTTGTTCCAAATATAGATTGAAGAAAGTGGATGTACAGACACAGTAAATGTACAGAAAGTGTTGTTAGAAATGAGGAAGTATCGTATGGGACTCATACAAACACCTGATCAGCTGCGTTTCTCATACCTTGCCATAATTGAAGGAGCTAAGCAGATCTTAGCTGACCAAAAAATTTCAGAATATGTGCCTTCGAAGAGTGTTTATGAATTACCGGTATAGTTTATTTTATTTCTTATAAAACTAAAATAAAAGAAATAAGCCTGTTTTAGTGTTTGAGTCAAAAAGGTTTTAGCTATGTCGTTAATTTATCTTCATTTGAATTAGCCACCGTAAGTATACTTAGTGTGACACAAAAGTTAACTTACATTTATCATTTTATTTCAGTGGCTATATTTATGTCAGATGTAATGTAATTTCAATGGTTTTGTTTACACCAGTAATTCTAAAATACTTCTCATCCCTGTTATTGGCCCAATGGTGAATTATCTAGTGATGTGTTAGTGTAACAGTCAATATGACAAGTATATGGTTCAAAATTCTGTAACCAAACCTTAAATAGGTATTAGCAACAATACCTAGTTTAGATCGAGACTCAAAATACGAGTTTTAAAAAATACATGATTGTGAATATATTGGGATAATGACCTAAGTATAGCCATTGTAATTACATTACAGCCAGTGCTTATATTTTTTGGTTGTATATGATTGCAGCTGAATTGTACATAATTAATACAGCAATCTGAAAATGTTGACATTTTTTCATTTTGTTGCACCTCATCAAATCTGCAGTGTCCATAGCCACCATTGGTTGACTGTTCCGTGTTTCAGGTCAGCAAAGCATAGCATGAGTTATTTAGATAGGGAATTCTCAGTGCATGATTGGGACACTGCCAGTAAGAAAAAAAAATGTTCCCAAATTATAACCTATTAACTCTATCAATACAAAAAGGCTGTTAAATTCTGTGGGTTGACAATGTAAATAGAATGCCAGTCAAGATGTAATAGTCTGAATATTTAACATCCTGCAAAAGGGTTCTTCCATTGGGCCTAATAGAAAATTTATGGAATTTGTGATTATACTTCTTTATAAAGTTCAAACCTTACAGATTGTATTGGGGGAATCGGCAGGAGGAAAAAGAAGATGGATGTAATGGAAAATAAACTTAGCAGTGATTCAGTGCACCTTTGTAGATTCTCATTGCCACTGTGATGAATAGCATACTATTCTACTTGCATATTTGTGTCAGTAATCACAGTTGGTAAAGTGGCTTTTAACTATTTCTAATTTCTTTTTCTAAAGTATAAAAAACTGTAGTAGGTAATTTTGATTTCTGCAACTTTTGCTTCTTTTTGCTACCATAACTATTTGAGAGGATTATTAGTCCATAAGACTGATCACTTGTATCACTTATAGATTAAAGGCAATAGCAATAATTTTCATATATGGAATAAGTATATTTTCAGATTTCTTTAACATCTTCTGTATACAAAGAAAAAAATAAACAGAATATCTCGGGAAAGTAAATGGACTTGGGGTAAGAAACCACTTACAATTGGGAAGCTAACGAAAATAGGATGTTTATTCTATCAGCATTTAAAAAGTTCTCATTCCATCTTTCAGTTAAAAATAAAATTTTTGGAAGGTAGTATCATTTCATTTGAGTAGAAATATGTATATATTTTTATGTATTTTTTTTCAGCATTTTTTTGTCTCTTGGTCTGTATCAAAATAGCTGATAATATTGAAGTAACTACCAGTGTTTTGTTTAACATTATAGCTGTTTTAAATGTTTTGCAAATGCTTCAGTCTGCATTTCAAAAATGAATGAAAAGGTTAGTGTTATTAACATAATTATTATGTTGTACATATAACAAAATGATGGAAATTCATCATCATCTTGTTAATTTTTTGTTGCTGTATCTTTTAATGGGGGCATAAGATGCGAGTATTGTTTTTTTACATTAAAAAGTTCACAGTTGATTAATCTAAAAAAAATATTTATTTCTTAAGGATGGAGTGTTTGAGGAAAAACAGATCAATAACAATGAGAGTGAAAAGCCAAAAAAAAATATTATAGAAGCTGAAAACCGTGAAGAGGTAGCTAGCCCAGAGACATCAGTTAGTGAATTGAACCGAAGGATAGCCGAAAAAAACGATGCCAAAACAGAACCTCCACCACTGCCACCCCGAAACAAGCCATTTTCTGACATACCCATTGAGAAAAATTTCTCGGAAGCCACAGAAATGTCACCTAAATCCGTAACATCTGAGAATGTAGTTTCCTTCAAGGCTAGTGAAGATTTAAGGGAAGTTGATTTTCCCAGGGAAGAGGATATAGTTGTCACAAATAATACTTCATCACTCAGAGAGAACAGCATAACGTAAGTATCTTTCAAGATTTGTGATTTGTTATTCCACAAAAGCATTCAGTACACAACTGCATACTGATTACTAAGATAAACTATTGTTGAATTTGTTTCTGTAAAATAGTTAGACTTATTATATAATACATTGGAATTTGCATTTAAAAAAATTCCAATAATTTTCAAGCTTATGTAAAAACATAAATAAAAGCTTAGTTGTTAATGGGCTGCCAAGTCTTGAAAATTTAGTTCACATGCTAATTCAGTTTAATATAATTTCTCACCTATAGATAGGCCTTGGAAAATGTTTGTTTTTGCACTGACTAGAGTTGGGTGATTAACTGATACTCGATTAACTACTAGCATCGATTATATTCATTTGTGTCATGTAAAATAATCAACTAATTAAAATTGCTGTTTTCAGTTATTCTAATTAATTGAAATATTTCCATTATGACCACTCATTATTATTTTTGATCAATTCAAGATTGCTGTGCTGAATAGATTAGTGTCATGACATGAAAATAATCAACTAATCAAAATTAGTGTTTATAATTATTACTGTTTTTACTTATTCCAGTTTCATGTGAGAATAAACAATTAGTGGAATGTAATTGATTAATAAGCCTGACAACTAATTAATTAGCAAATTCCATTAATCACCCAGCTCTACCAACACAATTATGGAAACTTTTTTCTGTATATTGAAAAAGTTGCATTGTGTGGACATAGGTTTGTGCAATTTTATTGTGAGTGATGGTACATCTTATTTCTAGGATTAAAATCTGTGTGTTGGTTTTAAGTGGCAGTTCTTGGAAATAATTAATTGAGCTTAATCTTTTTCCACCTGTTATATGTTCAGTGATGCAGAAATACGAAAAAGAAGACGTAAAGAGCGTTTGGAAAAAACAGCCGAAACTGTCCAAAAAATGCGCCGGAAACAGCAAGACTCTGAATCATGGGCACGACGCAGGTTGTTATTAAAGCAGTTTTCCATAGGTTTAGTATTGCTGTTGGGAACAGGAGTCCTGGTGTATCGATACTACGTAAAAAGTTAAACTTTTAGTGAATGCAAGCTCTCCTGTTTAGTATAACCTTTCATACTTGGTCAGACCAGGTATGTTTTTTTTTATTCATATTTTTGTATTTGGAAGGACACGTTTGTCCTGTTGTTTCTCAACCATGCAGTCATTAGCATTCTTTTTGTCTCATGATAACATGATAAGCAGGTTTTCTCAATCAGTTGTTTTTTTTTCACTCTTGGTAGTATTTAAAAAAAACAGATGAATTTGTTCTTCCAGATTTTAATAAATATATTTTTATCATGTAAAGATCCCAAAACTGATTGTTATCAAGCCTCTAATAATAGAAACATAGATGATGACCATATAATATTTTTGTTCCCCAAAAAGGCAACATACGAGTAATAAAGCTGTAATAATTTATAATTCATTTCTTTAATATTTATGTACATTGTTATAGTATGAATGCCTTTTCCCGAGCTGATGAAGCATGATTATAATTAATTATAAGACATTAGTATTGGGCTTATTGTATTTTTTGTTACTACATTTTTTTATCTAGTCCCTTATGGATTTTCAAGAATTAGAAAAGTGTATAATAACAGTATGCCAACCACCGTATGTTCATCATACCGATTGAATGCTGTTAACATTGTGTGGTTAAAATACTATTATTATACAGTCTTCTAATTCGTGAAATCCCTAAGGGACCAGATAAAGAATGTAGTGTTAAAAAATAGCATGTCTTATGACAAGTATAATTAATTATAATTGTTTCGCCAGCTTGGAAAAGGTGTTCACAACATAACAGTTGGTTTTCTAACAAATGGCTTATATAAATAGTGTTCCAACCATTACTGTGTTTGTTATGTCCCAGCCTGCCTGCTGAGCTCTGGATTGTGCAAAATGCATCATCGGCAATGGATATGGCAAACATAGTGTAATTGAAATATTATCATTATACACTCTTCTGATTCTTAAAAATCTCTAAGGAAGTGAATGAAGAATGCAGTGTTCAAAAATATTATAGGCCTAATAATAATGTCTTATGATAAGTATATTTGTGTATATTAATTAAATTAAGCCCAAACATTCACTAGAGAGTGTATTCAAAATTATAGGTAAAGGTCTGTAACAAGTCATTCAAACATAACATTAGTGCTGTCAAAGTGATTAATACAATACACACACACACACACATTAAATACTAGAAAATGTTAACCAATGGTTGTTAAAAAAAATGAAGACTAAGTAAACTGAAACTTAAACAATACAATAAATAATACCTAAATGTCACATGTAAGATAAAAGTAAACATCATCTTATGCTATCTCAGGTACCCAGGAAAACAGAGACAGTCTAAAATTTTCTCTTATCATTCAAAATGAACAGAATTCCATGTCATTTCATCAACAAGCTGATACACTCCAGTGGTTTTATGTGTTGTAAGAAAAGAACCTTAAGAAAGCATTCGTTTAGTATACATCAAAGTGTAATGTGTGTTAAGATAATATGAAACACAAGAAAATAACCAAGAAACATGTAAACTCTCACAGTTTGCTTTATCAGGAAAACAAATAGTTTTTGTCTTGTACTTTATTTAAACAATGTATATATTTCAAATTTATGTGTGTTGTAATAAATTAAAGCCATTTTAATAGAAATAACCAAGATCATGTTTTTGAAATCATAGATAAGACATTATTTATTCACAAGTGCAAAAAAACTATATTTTAAGCTGTGTGGATTAACTTAATGTAATGTGCATGTAAAATAATACATTTAAAAAAACATTTTTTGAATAGCTGAGGTAGTACTTTATTTCCCAATAAGATAGTTTTTCAACAAGTAAAATCTAGACTTAATTTGGTTAAAGTATAGCTAAATTATATTTATTCATCTTCCTTGAACAGTTTATATTCTTCAGTAAAATGGCAAGTACTAGTGAGTCTTAAAAGCTCAGACTTGTTAGTGCTCTCTTGATATATGTGTACTTAGTTAGGAAACTAGTCTTCAACTGTTACTGGACACTAAACATCAAAGGCAGTTTGCATTTATTACTGTTCTAGTATGTAAAGAAGGATGCAGAGGTTTTTACGCAGGAAAGAATTGCTTTGTTTGTGAATAATTTGTCACTATTATTTGATAATGGCTAATGAGGATAATCAGATCTGTGCCCAAGTGTTCAGATATACGTACTTCTAATCTCACCTCAAGTATGATCTGTAGAATAACCTATAAGATCAATAAAACCTGAGAAACACATCTGTGAATAAATTCACTGCTGCTGTGAAATGATTTATAAGCTAATTTTTGTTTGCATATGTCATTCATAACATATTAAACAGGTGATAAATAGGTTGAAAAACTGAGAGCATGTATAAAATATGTATAAAGAAATATCGTACAGTGCTCCCTAGTATATATATTAAAGCAATGTGATGTGACATTTCTTCACAGTTTTCAACTATGTTACATTACCATCCATATATTGCTTGGCAATAACAATATGCCAAACCTGAAAAAGTTTCTTGCAATTCAGAGGCTAGTTACTTGTTTCCTGGACTTGCACATGCTTGTTAGAGAGTAGGCACAGTAGTGAAGATTTTAAACTTTCAAAACATAGACCTGTAAAATTATAATAACCTAGAAAAGGCAAAAACTGTTCAATTATGTTTCACAGGAGCAAAGTTTTTATGGATGACAAAATGTAAATTAAATAAATGAACTATAATATTGCACCTTCTTAACACTATGTTTGTGGTATTTAAGATACTATTGCAAAAATCTGATTGAATATATGGTATCACACATATACTGTTTAATTAATACTTTTATTTTACATAATTTATCTACCTTGCTCTGATTGACTGACTTATCAACAATTTAAAAGAAACCATTTATGATTTGTAACTTCACATTCCCACATCATGGACCATATATTGATAGAGTTACATTTATGCTTGCCTCTCTTAAACTGCCAACTTTTACATGCTTTACACATTAATGGTATTAACACATTTAACACCTTTTTTGCTTAATTGTAATTATTGTTTCAGTTACATTTGAAATCATTTAAACATTTCTGCTATAATTTCCAAATAGGAAGTTACAAATAACTCAAATTACTAAAATTTCACTTGCAGTTTTTGGGTTGCATCAGTAATTGCCAAATGTTGACCATAATGTCAGATATCCTTGGTTGCATCAGTAATTGCCAAATGTTGACCATAATGTCAGATATCCTTGGTTGCATCAGTAATTGCCAAATGTTGGCCATAATGTCAGATATCCTTGGTTGCATCAGTAATTGCCAAATGTTGACCATAATGTCAGATATCCTTGGTTGCATCAGTAATTGCCAAATGTTGACCATAATGTCAGATATCCTTGGTTGCATCAGTAATTGCCAAATGTTGACCATAATGTCAGATATCCTTGGTTGCATCAGTAATTGCCAAATGTTGACCATAGTGTCAGATATCCTTGGTTGCATCAGTAATTGCCAAATGTTGACCATATTGTCAAATATCCTTTATGTATGACAAATCATAAATGGGATGAATTCACATTTAGTGAACTTCAATTCTACTTGTAGAAGAAATTCAGAACAAGTGACTTATAAGATCTTAAGGTTAACATAACACAAGATCGCCTTTAAAACTTTTAAGCGTGAAACTGTAAAAGTGTGTATAATCTAGTATCAATTGGTTTATTCATTGTGCACTTTGAGGTCTCAATAACCTTTGAACACATAAGATTTAAAAATTATATTTGTGAAACATGATACGAAAAACAAGTGAACCATCGAGACTTAGTAAATATTTTTATTGGAATAATATCTACCCTGATGACGTTTTCTTTTATGTTGATTTTTTTACACTTTTGAGTGTTCTGCTTACAATTCAGGTCAGATAATAAGACAGAAATGTGCATTAATATATATAGCATTTATTTGCAATATGTAATATTCATGAGTTACAGCTTGAAACAACTATTATTGATAAAAATGTATATTTTTCATTCTAAATTTTTCTGTAGTTAATAAAACTGCTTTAGCACTGACTTTCTTCTGCTTGTTTTAGGTCATTGCTAAATTACAAACAATTTCATTCATTTAGTTAAACCTTTTTTGCATACTTATCAAACATATTTCCGTCTTGCTTCTCTGTTGTTGTTTTTTTTGGGGGGGGAGGGTTCATTTCCAAGCTGACATAATTAGGTTAAACTGGTTTTATGCATTAACACTATATAAAGGATGTTATTAAATAAGTGCATTTTTTTCAATCCAGGTCATAGTATTATTTTAGTAAGTAGCTGGAAATATAAAGGTTTTGTGTGAGACTGTAATCTAGTGAAGTACATATCTCCATTATAGAAATAATTTTCAGGCCCATACTCTGTGAAGGTGGTCACTTGCCATGTAGCTTTAATTCAAATATTACAAATAAAATAGGTCTAGGCTGTCAGAAACTGACCATTTTAAGAATTTGGCGGTTACTCAAAATAATTATAATAAAGATGAGAATCATTCAGAGAGTCGTTCAAGCTGTCAGAATGTTTTTTGAAAGTATCTGAATAATAGGACATTGTCTCATACTGTAAATATTCTTAAATTGACTACTGTCTTTGTACAGTGAACTTTGCAATTGTTTTACCAAATCTATAGTATAAGTAATATTTTTTACATAATTGTTATCAATGTTTTATTAAAAATGTTATCTAGTTTTTATGCTACCATTTAAGAGGTTAAACCATGGCAGTGTTTGCCTCTGTATAATAAATAGTCTGTTTTCTTTTTCTTACAAAAAAATTTTTTTCTCGATAAATTTGTGCTTTTTTTATTTTCTTGCACCATTGTGATATAATTAGAATAATGGAGTTGGAAATTTTCTTTAATTCTGCCTTGTAGTTTCTTTCAGACTGTAGAATTATTAAGAGTCATGGATAG